TATATATATATATATATATATACTCATTAATAAATAGCTGGAAAAGAAACGTGTAGTTGTAGCAGTAACCCGTGTGTTAAGTTAAGTGGATGCATTGACATGATATATATAATATAATACTATAACTGAACACATTAAACATTTGTAATTACTATTTCCTGCTTAGGCTAGGTGGTTGTCACCTGTCAGGGGGAACCTGGAAAGATCTTTCCTCAATTCTCCAATTTTCTAGTCTGAAAGAGCTGGACCTGAGTAACAATGACCTGCAAGATTCAGGAATGCTGCAGCTATCTGTGGGACTGAAGAGTGCACACTGTAAACTGGAGATTCTCAGGTTAGGAATCCATTGCAAAGTATTACACTTCAAATTTGGCAACAGTAATGTTTAAATTGTCAAATTAATTTCTATTAAATAGAATTGGGACATAATTTCTTAATTAATTTAGGGTGGTGGCATTTTTGTTTTTTTTGTATTAACATTTGCAGTGATCTAGATTTGTCCAACCAGAAAGCTAATTCAGTAACACCGAATATGAAGTGTGTTTAAAACACATCTCCAACCTTAACTCTAAAGGATGGCTGTGTGCAAACTGTCGTGGAGAAGCAGTGAAGCCCTGTCCACAGTTCTCTGCTCTGAGTCCTGTAGCCTGAGAGAGCTGGATCTGAATAACAATGACTTGCAGGATTCTGGCGTAAGAGGGTTGTTAGCTGGACTGGAGAGCCCACACTGTAAACTTGAAACTCTTAGGTAAGAAATCAGATGTTTACTTCTCTTTTTCTAAAGACTGTGTCCTGCAGATTCTTTTGTATATCCCGACCAATGTCTTAAACTTACCTATAACACTGTTTTAAATACAATTTCTTTTAATAATTTCAGCCTCTCAGGTTGTCTAATCAGATATGACGGCTGTGCTTCTCTGGCTGCAGCTCTGAGATCTAACCCCTCCCATCTTAGAAAGCTAGACCTAAGTTACAATCATCCAGGAGATTCAGGAGTGGGACTGCTGTCCACTGGACTGAAAAATCCACTCTGGAGACTGGACATTCTGAAGTATGATTCATGAAGACACCGATGATTTTTGTAAAAAACTATAATAATTAAAAAAAAATACTTGCCATGGAGGCTCTTTGCCTTAAATACAAGCATGCATTTAAGCCATTGTGAAACTTGACAACATGTATTAAGTCTAATTTACACTATTTAGCCCTTCTCTACAATACTGTTATAGATTTAACACTGTCAGTGAAGCTGGGAAAAAAGTTAGCATTTTCAGTTTCAGTTTTGAGAGCATGTGTGGTTGATTGGTTGGTGGCTGCTAATAGTCCTACATTAGCTTATATTTTAGAGCATGTCTTCCACTTTTCATAATGAAAGACAACATATCAGTTAACTGGGTCGTTTTTTCCCCCAGGGTGGAAAACTGTGGAGAGCAAAGGTTAAAACCCGGTCTGAGAAAATGTAAGCATGTACTTTGTTAATAGGAGTTTATGATATTTTGAAACCTTGCATTTGAATATTCTTTATGTCCTTTATTTTAAAGCTGTGTCTTCTTTCTTCTGGCAGATGCCTGTGAACTTACACTGGACAGAAACACAGCACACAGAAAGCTGAAACTTTCTGAAAACGACAGAAAAGTAATGCTGGTAGGAGAGAAGGAGCAGACTTATCCCAATCACCCAGACAGATTTGACCGTAGGGAGCAGCTCTTGTGCAGTAATCGTCTGACTGGTCGCTGTTACTGGGAGGTGGAGTGGAGAGGAGAAGTTGACATAGCCGTAAGTTACAGAGGAATAAAACGGAAAGGAAACAGTGAAGACTGCAAGTTTGGAATGAATGATCAGTCGTGGTGTCTGCGATGCTCTGATGGTGGCTTCTCCGTCTGCCATGATAACAAAATCAGATCAGTCCCTCCCTCTTCGGTCTCTAACAGAGTAGCAGTGTATGTGGATTATCCTGCTGGCAGTCTGTCCTTCTACAGAGTCTCCTCTGACAAAATGATCCAAATCCACACCTTCGAAACCACATTCACTGAACCTCTGTATGCTGGGTTCGGTTTTGTGTTTGGGTTGGGCGTTGAGTCTTTGATGCTGTCAATTGACTCCTCTGTGTCTCTGTGTTCAGTATAGGACAAATAATTGCATACATCAGTCTGCATCTGAGTAACATCCACAATGAAAATATGATATGGGATTTCAGAACAAGTTCTAGCAAGATTTCTGGATAAGCAAACAACACATTACATTTCCTTTCTGCTTTAATATACAGTAAGAGATGTGATCTGAAAGTTTTTATATATTGCTAGTTTGGCTCTGAGGATTACTGCTCTTTTTGGCCAACTGCCTTCTAGAATGCAGTAAAACATACTACATGGATTATCAAACTTTAATGGCAGTTTTTCAACTCCTAACTTAAAGTATAGAATATGGCAACTGATTCTAAAGAACATAATAATCTGCTTCCATACATCCATTGTTTGTCCTACTAGGATTAGAATAAGATTGCATTTTTGCCATGTTTTCAGTACTAGAAAATATTATCTTTCAAATGAAGTCTCTTAAATGCATTTATAGTTCTTCCTTTAGCAGATCTTATTAGGGTGTAGGTCAAGATTACATAAAAAAGGGTAGATGTGAACCAAACCCTTCCCCTACCCTTAAATCTTAAAACCAGTCAATGGCAACTGCATACATGTAAAGACAATGCATTTCCTTACGTTCATCAAGTTCATTTTCTTAGTAGTCCTTACCCTTGAAAATATTTCTTCTTCTGTCAAAGGTTATTATCCATTTAAACTAGAGATGGACCGATCCGATATTACGTATCGGTATCGGTCCGATACTGACCTAAATTACTGGATCGGATATCGGAGAAAAATAAAAAATGTAATCCGATCCATTAAATATCACGAAAGCACCTCACAAAACTTGCAACACGCCGTAACTCACCTCAGAACGTTAGCACGTCGGAGCAGTATGCATCACGTGATAGAGCGGCTGTGGCATGCGGGACCTGTCGGTGGTCTGGATAGCATTTGGAGCTTCGCTAGCAACCCAGCATTTCATCTCCGACAAAGTTATCCCGAGAGAAGTAAAGCAAGTGTGTAAGTCCATCTCTGAATGTTTGTAAAGCATTCCTGCGTTAAGCTTAACAAGCGACTGCCTCTCGCTCTCCGGCTGCTACTTCAATCATGAAACTGCTTAACGATCAGCTGATCGGCTTTTCTGTCGGGACTCCGTCTCTCTTCTTTGTTTTTGGTCCACTTTGCACCAGAAAGAGGAAACCAGCGGCTGAACAACAGCAGCACGTTTAAGCTTGATCAGCTGTTGTTAGAATGTATTTAATATTACTTTCTACTCGAGGATCTTTTTCTACAGCTGACGCTGGTAACTGTGCAGGGGCGGATCTAGCAAAGTTTAGCCAGGGGGGCCGATAGCGCATTAACAGGGAAAAGGGGGCACAAAGACATACTTTTCTTTCTTATTCTCATTTAAAATGTCTAGCTTTTAATAAATAATTATCCAAATCTTACACCCAAAGTTTTAATTTGATGTAAAATGAATATAAGTCAATTACTGTATATAGTGACTATTAAGTCTAATATACCCTAGTAAGCTATAGTACTTTTTCCTTTGGGAAGGTACCATCTGTGCAGTCTGCAATTTTGTTGAAGAAAGATGTTGAATCTATTTAATATTTCTTGAAAAATTATTGATTTCTGTGCATTTTTTTTCCACACTGCATCAAATTAAGATAAGATAAGATAAGATAGAACTTTATTAATCCCTCGGGTGGGATCCTCTGGGAAATTCGACTTCCAAAAAAAGCACAGCAACGACCGAAGTTACAGTTACAGAATTGTTATATATACACACACACACACACACACACACACACACACACACATATATAAATACAGAGACAAATATAAATAAAATATACAAAGGGGATAAATAGAATAAATAGGAATAAAAAAAATAAAAAATAAAAATACAAGTGAATTGCACATTTCAAGTATTGAGTCTATTGCACTGTTGAATTAAGGTTGATTACATCGATTAAGCATCATGAGGTGGAGGGTGAGGGGTGGTTCCCTATTTTTTATTTATTTATTTTTGTTGTTGCTGGGAGTTGGAACCCTATTAGTTAGGTTGCTTAATATTTACGCTAAGTACTCTTTAAAATACCAGAATAGGGAGGATGGTGTAGGTTTAAGTTTATTAGATTGATCAGTATTGCTGAACTATGAAATATATTTTTTTTTTGCATACAGGTATAACAGAATAGCTTTAGTGTAGTTGTTGTTTTAAACTTGAGTATGAACTTATACAAAATGCAGCAAGATATTTAAAAAACAGTTTTGTTGATTAAAAAAACACTATATCGGATTCATATCGGTATCGGCAGATATCCAAATTTATGATATCCGTATCGGTATCGGACATAAAAAAGTGGTATCGTGCCATCTCTAATTTAAACTTGGCTAAAAGTTTTAAAATGAACACAGGTTGCATTTGAAAGTGCGTACCACTTCAGGACAAAAAAGAAAAAAGAAAGCTTCCCCATATTTTCACTGTTCTGTTCTTCAGTCACCAACATCATTTTCGTTTTCTGCAATATTTTTACTCTGAATTTTTTTAAAAGAAAGTTTTTATTATTTCTGCTTTAATTTGCCAAGATGTGAAACACGGCAACATGTACAATAAATGACCGTATAACCTGACTTGTGAGATGTCATGTATTAATGTTTTTCACTGATCACCGATCAGCAGTGATCAGTGAGATGCTTGACTACAAGATAAACAGCCACAAGGAGCAGTACCTTCCATGACGAAGGAGACTAGAGGCCAAGGTCAAAGTAGCATGGAAGGAAGTTAGCCAATGATCGGAGCTGCAGGACGGGGCAATCAAGAAGGTGCCTAAGAAGTAGAGCAAGCTCTTATATATATTATATTCCTTCAGCTTGAAGGATAGACCACCAGCAGCGATGAGAGTTTTTTTTTTAAATTACATACACTATCAGTCAAAAGTTTTAGAATACCCCAATTTTTCCAGTTATTTATTGCAAGTCAAGTTGTTCACGTCCAATGAATAGTTCAAATGGTACAAAGGTAAGTGGTGAACTGCCAGAGGGTAGAAAAAGGTTACCCAAAAGTGAAAAATTATTTACATTTCAGAACTAAACAAAAAGGCCTTTTTCAGAGAACACAACATGGGTTAACAATTTAAAGCTGCTCTGCAGCAATGGAAGTTGATCAAGACTTGAAAGCTGGAGCTACTAAATCCTACAGGTGTTCCAACTTTTCTGGATTACATACCACCCCCTCTGTCTGCATAAAAGCAGTGCTGGAACACACTGTGGTGCCATACCCTTGTGAGCATCAGTTGAACAGTATTGTACTGCAGAAAGTAGTGTGTTGCTACAAAAATGGGGAGGAAAAAGCAATTAACAATGGAAGACAGACAGGCCATCATAGCACTTAAAAATAGCTCTATAAAATAGGTGTAGGTCTCTCCTACAGAGAAATTGCAAAGAAAGTCCAGGTGTCAGTGAGTACAGTTTCCTTCACCATCAAAAGGCACTCAGAAACTGGGGCAAACTCTGACAGGAAGAGGTCTGGCATACCCAAAACCACAACTGAATCACAGGACAAGTTACTGAAAGTTAACAGCTTGCGTGATAGGCGGCTCGCAGGACAACAGCTTCAAGCACAGTTTAATAGTGGTCATAGTAAGCAACTCTCAGTTTCAACTGTTAAGAGAAGACTTCGAGCTGCAGGTTTGACAGGAAAGCCATTGCTAAAACATCAGAATAAGACAAAGAGGCCTGCCTGGGCCGTGAAACACCACCACTGGACTACTGGAGACTGGAAGAAGGTATCATGGACTGATGAATCCAAATTTGAAATCTTTGGTTCATGCAGGATCTTTGCACGCCATTGAGTAGGTTTGTTGGATCAACAGTCAAACATAGAGAAGGATGTGTGATGGTCTGGGGCTGTTTTGCTGTATCCAGGGCCTGAACCAAAATAGCTACTCCAGCATTCTGCAGTGCCATGCAATACCCTCTTGTATGCATCTAGTTGGTCAGGGTTTCAAGATTATGACCCAAAACATAAGTCCAAGCTATGCCAGGATACCCCAGGAAAAAAAGAGCAAGATGGTAACCTTGAAAACATGGAGTGGCCAGCACAGTCTCCAGACTTAAACCCCATCAAGCTGGTTTGGGATGAACTGGACAGAAGAGTGAAAGCAAAGCAACCTACAAGTGCCACTGTCTGTCGACATTACAGGAATCCAGGCCTATACAATAAAGGGTGCCAACTGCGCGGAAAGCAGACACAGTTCAGGAGCCATTGGTGGCAACGAAGCAGTTCTGAAGGCCGACTGCGGAGGCAGCGGCAGTGATGAGACAGTCCAGGGTGCTGGCCGTGATTAAAGCAGCGGCAGGTGAAGTCCAGATGCCCACCGCTTGGGAAACGGGGGTGGCAACATAGTTAAGGAGGCTGCGAATGACAGCAAAGATGCTCAGCCAATGGCCTGGAAAGTGGCCGTCAACAGTGTAGTGCTGGACGTGGACAAGCAGGCCGTGCAGGCCGTGGATGAGCAGGACCAGAAGGCACAAGACCAGATGGCGGCGTAGCAGCCATAGGCGGTTGGATGGCTGGCATCATGGCTGTTGCAGATGGTGGATCTGATGGTTGAGTAGTTGGTGGAGCTGATGGCTGGACAGACTCTCCAGAGTCCTCAGCAGAGGCAAACGACAGCTGGGCAGACTCCCCAGAGTCAGCTGGGTAGACACTGCAGAGAGTCGCCAGCAGATGGCGTCAAAACAGTGGACAGCTGGATGAACTCTTCAGAGCCGCCAGCGGGCACAGATGGCTGGCGCGGCTCTCCAGAGGCCCCAGCTGGAACAGATGCAGGACCAGCAGGTGCAGACTTCTGGCTGACCAGACAGCTGAGCAGGTGTCTGAGCAGATGACTGGGCTAATAACTGACCTAGCGACTGAGCTAGTGACAGAAGTAGAGGGTGTAATGGTGGATGAAGTGGTGGATTAGCAGGCGGCTTTACTTGTTCTCCTAAGAAAACAAAGGAAACGGCCGGAATGGGTGCAGGCACCTGCTGGACACCAGCTGCTCCCACCCGAGGAGCAGGTACTGGTGCAGAGGTGGGCTGTTTCCTGGTTGGCATCACCCTGGGGACCTGTATGGGTGCCGGGGCAAACTGGGCACCAGTCAGTGCCACCCGAGGGGTGGTTATGGGTGCAGGAGGTAACTGGTTAATGGCCACCCTCACCCTGGGAGCCGGAACAGGCACTGGCAATGGCTGCGCAGCTGCTGTCCCCAGCTGGTACAGGTGTAGAGACTAGCAGAGCCTCAGCTGGCCTGAAAACCGGAGCAGGAACCAACTGGGCCCTGGGCCCCCTCACTCGAGAAACTGATACAGGTGCAGGGGATGTCTGGACCACAGTCACCCTGAGAACAGGGGGCACAGAGAGGCAGAGGAACAGTCTCTGAAAAAAGAGTGTCAGCAAAAATAGATTTAAGCCCTTTGCCACCTTGACGAACAGTTTTTACAGTCTTTGTGGTTGGGTGGACAAAATATGACTTGACAGAACCTGACTTGACAGAACCTGAAGTTCTGAAGAGGAACAGTGCTGAAGAGGAACAACCCTAGGTTTCTGTTTAGCCCTGTTATATGTCTGTTATATGAAGCACTATGGTCTTGGAGGAATGTTGTCTTCACTGTGTATTGTACCACTACAGTACACAATCTATTTTTTCAACAGATTACAGATATAGGTTATCAAGTACTTCTGATTTGAGGGTCTCTTTTTCAGAGGAGCTATAGTATCTGGAGTCGTGCGCAGTGAGGATGTAAAATAATAGTAATGAGATATTTGAGATCAGAGATGGGCAGTAACACGTTACTTGTGACGCGTTACTGTAATCTGATTACTTTTTTCAAGTAACGAGTAAAGTAAGGGATTACTATTGCAGAAATGGTAATTAGATTACCGTTACTTTCCCGTAGGAACGCTGCGTTACTGCGTTACTAAAACCCTGATCTTTTGCGAGAATGTCTCACGACAGTGACGTAAGCGAGTGCGCCGTTAGTGACAACAGCTGTGTGCAGATCAACAATGAATCATATATCGATTGTGGGAGAGAGTGCAGCGTGCAGCGTTTAAAGCGTGGAAGTACTGACCTTACTTTGAGTTTGATTCCATAAAAAGTGACAAAAACATTAGCGTCCATTGTGCGTGGGAAGAAAACTTCTTTTTACAGCGAAAAAAACCCCTAAACTTCCAAGCAAGCACCGAGTGGCAACGACGTAATGGGAAACTCACAAAGAAAGTCGCGGATTCTTCAACTGACCGCGGCACACCTGCACCAGGGTAAACCTCCGCCTACCCCACTCCTGCTTTACAGGTGAAAATAGAGCAACAGGACTGCTGAGTCTTTGACTTTATTTATTTTCTGCTGTGTTTTACTTGCATCTATTTCAAAGAGTGAGTGTAAACACAAAAAATATTTTATTTTATGTGCTGGAATGTGCAGAAAATAGGTTTAAATATTAAACTAATTTATTCAAGTCAGAGAATGTTGCATATAATTAAATTTTTGCTTGATGCATAAAGTTAAAAGATTAAAACTAATAAAACAAGTTAAAAAAATAGACTTTTCCATTTGATTACATTTTGTATGATAGATTATGTAGAAAAAGTAGAATTGGGCTGAAAGATCTATCGCTTTATCACCTCTTCAGGTTGTAAATCGTGTTTTTAAAAGTAACTAAGTAACTAAGTAATTAATTACTTTTGAAAATAAGTAATCAGTAAAGTAACGGGATTACTTTTTTGGGGAAGTAATCAGTCATTAGTTACTGATTACTTTTTTCAAGTAACTTGACCAACACTGTTTGAGATTGATCACCGTTGTGGAAGTTCACCACCAGTCCTTTGGTTTCCCCAGCACCGATCTGGAGGCACTTCCACAAACTCCTGGGTCAGCTCTCTTTACTTTATCAGCTCCAGTGTGATTGGAGAACTGCTGCAGTGTGTTTTGCTCATGATTTTGTAGGTAGGAATTTGTCTTTATAGGTTTCTGTTCACCTGTAGTTGTGTGTTTGTGTCGGCCAAACTGACTGCACTGGTCAAACTGTGTCTGTTTCAGGTGAGTTAACAAAGCTGTAGATATGCAGGTAAATGAGTGACAGTGTGAGCAAACAGCTGCTGTCTGGCCGAGCAAACGCTGAACTTTGTGCTGCAGCGCAGCGGCTGCGCAAGTAGGTTGGCAGACAGCGGCTGCGTCAAGTTTTGTGTTCTTGTCTTAGTGAAAAGTCAAGGAAAGGTCAGTATGGCGGAGAGAAGGATGGCAAGAAAGGCGTGTGCAGAGCCCGACTTCCTGCAGTTCAACGATCTGGGCTGTGAGACGGTCGGAGGGAAGGTGAGTCACCACGAGTATGTTCACGCTGCTGCTGTGGGCAGGTTCACTCACTCCACTCATTACAACTGTTTGAAACCACAGTCTGATATGAAAACAATGTAAAGTCAGTAATATAATATACGAAAGACACAATGAAAACACATGAATTATATTGCAGTTTGTAATCTTTCATTATAGTATGTAATTTATAGTAAATTAATAAATTGTGAATAAAATCAGGGCTCCTAACATTTGTTCAGTATAATATGACAACAGACATAGAAGAAAACACAAAAAGAGTTTTAATGGGCTTAAAACACAAAAATACATAAAATGATCACAAACAGGTCTAATGCATTTTTTTAAAATAATTTTTACGTACATTGACTTTAACTCAGTTAACCGTCTAAATATTTTCTCTCCTGCTGCTCAGGAAAGAGGCCAGCTAGCTGTTCACTCAGTTTCTGTTAGCGTAATGTTTAATCACCGCTTTAACTCTGTTCAGTTCTCTGTGTTATCACATTGAAGCTGTTTGTGTTAGCAAAACAATTTTTTTCTTTCAGGTAATTTTTGCCACAGACGAATGGTTTGCCCCAGCGAGAAACCTGCTGAAGGTAAAATAACTCCACTCATCAGCATCAGTGACATTCACGTTAAAGGAGCAGTCCACTGTTTCTTCCCCTGCCTGAAGCTCTGAGCCCAGTGATTCATATTTCACATCATTAAAAACACCTCACACCCAGCTTTATTTAAAAGAGTTGAATATTTGTTTAACAGCTTATGCCTGTTCTTTCCAGTCTAAAATGTTTAGAAAACAGTTTCTAAGGCACTATTTTTAGCAGTGGAAGAATCCACATTAGGATGGAGGACAGCATATTCACACAGTGATGAACTGGACATAGCAGCAGGTGTATGGCACGATTCTTTCTAATGATAAAGTTCTTTATGCAGGTGACTCAAAATGAGCTGGATAATTATAAGACATTAACAGAGTTATCTTTAAATATTTTTAAAGCTTTTAAAGGCATTCAGAGGTGGCAAAAGTACACACATTCTGTACTAAAGTAGAAGTACAGTTACTATTGTTAAAATACTGCAGTAAAAGTACTGATTCAGCCTCTTTACCCAAGTAAAATTGAAAAGTACTGGCTCTGAAATACACTCAAAGTAAGAAAGTAAAAGCAGCTCTTTGGAGGACGTTTCTATTTTTGTGCAAAGCTAACTGAACTGTGCTATATTAATATAATAATAAAATAATATCAGTAGATGGAAAAACAGACTTTACTCTAACCTTTAATCCTAATTGAATTAAATCATGAATCAGAAGGAAAAGAAAAATATATTTCTATTTTCTGTTTCCTTCATTGTAGAGGGTGACTTTACCTCTACCTCTAAACAGGAAAATTTGTACAGTCAGGGGTTAAAGTGGAGGTGGCGTGGAAGTGGCCAGGGGAGGAGCGGTGGGGGGATCTCAGTGTGGGGAAAATCATCATATCTCTCAATAATTTCTATTGAAAGCTTCACCAGATTTTCTTAGTGTACGGGCTGGGATCAGCTGGCCTGCTGCTCTTTGTGGATGTACACATGTGGATTCAACCTGATGTGAGCAAATGTTTCCTGAGTTGTCCTGCCTGATTTAATCTCTACACTGACAGTACACTGTTTATGCTGTCTTTATATTATACACTATACAACCATCATCAGCTAAAATACACACAAAATAACATGTTAACATGTAAGCAGTTAATATAGTTGTTTGCAATAGCCTGAGATAAACAGGCACACTAAATTTCATCCCTTGTAATATTATATTTCATCTTAAGCCCAGGTTTGCTCTGTGAGGGGGATACTTCATCTGTTACCATGTAAACCTATACACACCACCTGCCCAGTGGTCTCACGGTTCCGTGTTACAATAACAAGGCTTGGCAGGATGAAAGCAGACATATCTAACTTATCCAGGACCCAGTAAAACTGGGGCACGCAAACTATATAACATCTCTTGTAAGACAAACGCAAAATATAACCACGCTCAACATGTAGATACTACACAACATAGTCAAAGAAAAACGTGGTCTTACATCTCAAAAAAGAAACAGCAGCTTGCCGCCAAAAACAATGTTTTTAAGTTAAATTTGAAGTCTTGCGCATGAGCAGGTCCAAGCCGTGAAACCTTGTTGTTCTTCGCGGTTTTATTACAACTGTTTTTGCATTACTGCCACCTTGTGAATATACGAAGTATATTGATCCTAATTAACTTAAATGTTATGCCATCAAGTAACACGTTAGTATTCTGTACAGACAATAATAGACAAAATTACGTAGACTTGATTAAAAAAACATATTTTAACTTAACAAAAACAAATATTTTAAGTAAAATGAAAATCAATAATTAATATACACTGAACAATCCACCTCATTCATTTTTTGAGTGTACAGAGAGAGCCGCCACAGTTCATCACATCTGCCTTCACCGAGTTTGGAAAGTGGATGGACGGATGGGAGACGAGGAGGAAGAGAACACCTGGTTAGTACCCTGAATTTTCACAAGCGGACCCGTTTTCTGACGCGGTGCTTTCTTTTACTCTCTTCTGGGTTTTCTGAGCTCCAACATTTCTTACACTTGGGTTTTGTTTTTGTTTTTTTTACTTTTAACATTTTGTTTATTTTAGTTTTCTTAGTTTGATCTGTGATTGTGCTAGAGTTTAACTGTTCCCTCTGTATTTCCCGTCTCATCTTCCTCAATCATTTCCCCCTGTTATTTGTGTCTGTGTTTCATCCATCCATTCTTTTCCTTTTTTCCTTTTTTACTGAGAAGTGAACCAATCATCATTGTGTTTGCTTGTTGCTTGGTTGAAGGTCACGACTGGTGCATTATCCAGCTGGGAGTCCCAGGTTTGATCCATGGCTTTGATGTCGACACGTCCTTCTTCACAGGAAACCACTCACCCTACATCTCCATCCAGGCCGGCTGTCTGGGTATGTCATCATCGTCATCATCATCACATTGCCCAATAACGTACTTTAAACTTTTCCATATCTAAATAGCTTCAATGAAACACTTCCTGTTGTTCTCCCAGACCAGGAGTCTCCTTTCACCCTGGAAGGAGACCGAACTGGCATGGCTGCCTCCGATAGTCAGATGGCAGCTGTTGCCAAGGTAACAGTGACCTTCATGTGATTCAATTCAATTCAATTCAATTTTATTTATATAGCGCCAAATCACAACAAAAGTCGCCTCAAGGCGCTTCATGTGATCACCGACACTGTAGTCAGCCCCAGCTAAACAAATATTTAAAACAAGAGTGATGTGCTGAATTGACAGCTATGGTCGGTTTATCTGCAGCCATGTGAAAAGCGGAGAGCTCCTAATCGTCAATCAGTCATTAATTCATCGTCAGGACACCATAAAGACCTGAGTAGAATGTCTTTTTCACATGACTATATGTATGGCTCAGGGGCGATTCTAGGATCAGAGCTTTGGGGGTGCTGAGCACCCAGAGAGCTGCCCAGCCAGGCAAGATAGACTTTACTCGTCACGATGAGACGTCTTCCCCGTGTCTGTCAGTCCCTGCATCCTTAAATGTCTCCAGTTGTCCCAAGTTCTCTATGACTGTCTCCTTGGTGCATTTAAACCCCTGTTCCTCCCTGTCCTCATCGTCTGTTGTCTTCGTCTCCGTTATCAGTCATCATAATTTTACCATCTCTGAGTAAGTCTGCAAATTTCTTTATTAAATCATAAGATTCTTAAATTCATCAAGTCTCCCTGTGCCTGGGTCCTCGTCACAAAACATGACATCACTGTTTTGTACATTTTAACACAATTGAATCCCCTTTGAGAAAGAAAAGCAAAACACTATTTTAAAAGTCAGTAACAAAATCATCAAATCAGATAAAGGTTATTTAAATGCTGCAAACGAAGAATGGATTGGAATAAAAAAACAAAACATATCCTAACCTTAATTACTGGGGGAAAATAATGAATGATGATCATAGTGAGTAAGATGTAAACAGAGTGCATTTTTTTGGACAGAGATTCACTTTTAATGTGTATGTATAATATAATACAGATACATAAAAATACACTCCAAAAATAGAGTCCTTAAAATGTACAAATGTACAAAATATTGATAAATAAAATTATAAAAATGGAGGCAACTTTGCCTATGGTACAATGTATTCAATGTATGAAAAGATCTTTACTGCAGGCTCTGCAGATTTTTTGTTTTATTTTAACCTATGTCGCTTCACCTTGAGGTTGGCAAATCTGTCTATCACTTTTTGTCATTAACTCTCTCAAGCAGTTTAACAGTTTCTGTTTTGCCTGTCACTGTTCCCTGTCTGTTTTCTTATCTGGTTCTTCCTGACCTTGTACTTTCTTCTCACGTTCCCCTCTTTCTTCTCTCCCTCTTTGGACTGACAATCATACACAAATAGATTGTATTCAATTAGATGTAAAAAATTACATTAATATGAAAAAACAAATACTATTAAGACCACTAATAAAAAAAGTCCTCTCTCAGTGTACTTTCAACCAAAAGGCAAATAACCAAACCACATGAACATCTAATAAAAGATATAAACATTGAAACACTGATCCAACATTATTCTTGATTGACGGATCTTTTGATCTTACACTTTTACCTGAATGTTGCTCCTGGGTTTAATCTTGGCACATGCACATATGACAAAATAACCAAATTCTCCATTTCAAACAGGACAGTGGCAACAACAGTAGACTACAGATAATTTTAAGTTTTAGATTTTAAATAGGCTATATAAATTTCAATGGGAGCAACAGGACAGTCAAATGCCGCTGATTTTACTACAGAGCAGGACGGATTGTAGGGTAGCAAACATCGTTGGAAAACACATTTCCAACACTGCAGGCTACCTGGTGTAATGTTTTTCAGCTAAAAAGAAACATGGTCTGACTCCTACCTAACTAGGGATGGGTACCGGTGTCCGGTGCCATGATGGCACCGGTTCTGACATAAACGGTAGTAACCAGACCGAAAAGCAGCGCACATTTCGGTGCTTTATTTCGGTGCTTTTTTTTCCTGAGCTGTGATAC